CGCCACCCTCTCACGATCCTCGGCCGACCGCCGAGATCGGACGCACCAAAGCCCTAGCGGCGTAGAGACGCCCTAGGAAATACTCGAAGATTTAGAGAGGAAATACTCTCGCTCCGAACCTTTTCCTGTACCTTCAAACAATTTAATTTAAATTACGTACTTATTACTCTAAATTTGTATTTGTAAAAAATATATATATATTAGTGGTGCGAAAATAACTTTTTATATAAAGTTGAGGTATATATATTAGTATATTACATATGAAGTTTGGAGTATTTATATTATCTTCCCCTAATAACTAATACTTCCTCAAATATGCATATATTTGAAGGTAGTACTCATATATTTGGATTAAATTACTTAATTGGAACCTAAAATAAACTACACACCATATAGTTACATAATAAAAGAAATTACAAGATAAAAACTGGACCTCATGAGGCCTAATGTAATGGAGACATGGAGTCAAGAGAAGATACTCTTGAGTTGACTTGAATGCTCAGTGACTCAGTGACTGATTGCCTGATGGAAACAAGTGTTCATTCCCGATTGTCACAAATCAATGCTATAAACACACCTTAGACATCTATTTGGTTTTGCTTTCACCAATACTTCCATACATGAGATTGCTCATATTTGTAAGTGTTTGTGAGAACAAAAATAAAAGAGATGTCTAAAGTGACGTGTTTTGTAATTTTGTATCATTTTTATCGTCAAGGACAGTATTTACTTTTTAATTTTTCCATATTTGGAAAACAGAAAAATCTTCTACAATGTCTCAAACTTTTCAGAAAGTTATAAATTGTATGTCTATGTTTTCCTAAACAGAAACCAACTTTCTAAAGTTGCAATAATCTATGGCAACTACAACCACCCACATGCTCTACGACAGAGTTACCACAACCAATGACCCCCCTCCTGTCCCATTGTCACTGAATCTTCCACACATTCACCTTTGTGACCCACGGACTTGTATCAACACCAGCACAATCTCAATCACCATCGACTATTTACCACCAGTAACTTTTGATATCATTGATAATCGTCGTCCCCGCAGACTATTATCGCTGCCATTAGTAGCATCTACTATGAATACGTACCGTCAATGACAAGACCATCGTCTGCTGTCAAAATTACCATCATCTTCAAGGACCAATGCAATCGCCATAATCGATGATCACAACCATTATCAACAATCATCACCACCGGCATTTACCATCGTTAACCATTATAGCTTACCACCTTTGCCAGCCTTGTTATGGTCACCAACCACTCTTGTTGCAGCTACTGACCACTGCCATAGAATGTAACCATTGTACTAAAAAAGAACTATAATTCCTTTTTTTTTGTATCAGTTGATGCCTCAGACTTAGGTGAAGCTTTCTTAACTATAAAATCAACGGGGAGCTGTTTTTGTAAATCGGGTGGGGAGTATTAAAGTAGGTGTGTTTATCATTAAAAATGAGCGTAAATAGCAAGACGCTTTTAGTGCTGTTGAGTGATCATCCCAATATCGAATAAGTATTTAAATATATAAACATACAAAGTACAAACCAAAGATAAGGTTGACTTTTTAAGATTGCAATGTCAAGTGTCAATATAGTATCATATTGGTCTGAACCAGTGAAGTATGATACCACAAGGGAGTTATAGGAAACTAAAGTGATTCTTCAAGGGCTTTGAGGGTATTATAAGTTCACATTCTTTGAGAGCCGCTTTGAACTTTTGAAGTTTGAACTACGCAGGGAAGGTTTGATAAACAGAAGATCAATTCCTGAAATATTGCACGCACGCATTGCATAAAGTTACCAGAAAATGATGCATGCGTAGTATTTATCTTGGTTTTTCAAATTCCTTATAATTGGTATAAATCCTCTTCGTCCCACTATCTTTGTCCCATTTTGTTCCGGTCTCACTAAGTTTTTTTCATATGGTGATATTTATGCGGTTCGTAATCATTCATATTTACAAATTTTGTATCAACTGCATAACTCTACTTTCTTTAATAAGTGTGCAACTCTCTCACGGCCCAAATAAAGGGAGACTGTTAGTACTTTAGAAAACAAAAATCTGATTGATGCAGGACCCAACCAGCTCTTCAGTTGTGGGTCCAGTGATTAGTGTGTGGTGTAATGGTTTATTGTGAAAACCTTTGGTGAAAGATCAGAAGGGAAAGCCTAATCAAAATTTTGTTTGTTTGGTAAATATATGGTCTTCGCATCATGAGTTGTGTCACGGAGATTATCAGTCGTGAAACCTTGTCACTGCATTTTTAGATGAGAATATAATGTGGAGTAATGCATTTGTACACAATTGATGGCATGAACTAAATGTTCCTGATCTAAAAGATGGTTGGGTCGTATTCAGGATTTGACAAGGTTTTGATAAATTTAACACTGAGTTACCACAGAATTATATGCCTTCATCATTTATATCCAAGACCTGAAGCAAGTACACTTTATTTTGTGTGGGCAATTTATTTAATTAAATAATTTATTTGAGATTTTCCTATAACATCACCATGGTCAAAGTTAGAAGAATATTCCAGCACAGCTGTTCTGTCTTATAAATAAAATGTTTATTAAGAAAAGTGAGTTCATGTGGTTGATATTGAATTGAAAAAGTAAAAATAAAGTAAGAATGATTGAAAACCACACAAACTCTACCAAATTTGGTATGGGATAATATTAGTGGGACTTCCCGAAAAGGTAAAATGAGACAATCTTAGCGAGACGGAGGGAGTATTATTTCAATCATATATTTGTCATTATTTGGAACAATTTACTTTCTTGGTGAGAAACATTGTGATTTTTTAGAATAAGAAGTTGTTCTCTTCGTCTGATCTGAATGCTTCCGATCTGAATTTATTAAGTTCTGATCTGATCTGGTCTGAATTTTTCTGATATGATCTGATCTGAATTTTTCTGATCTGATCTGATCTAATCTGAATCTTTCTAATCTGATCTAAATCTTTCTGATCTGGTCTGATCTGATCTGAATGTTTCTGATCTAATCTGAATCCTTCTGATCTGATCTGATCTAAATATTTCTCTAATAATTATTATTATTATTATAATTATATTTGTAATTATAAATATAATTTAAATATAATTTATAATTATAGTCATAATTCTAAAAAATTATAATTATAATTATAATCTTCATAATAATTATAATTAAAGTTATAAAAAATTATACCTACTACTCTAATTATAATTATAGCTATAATTATAATTGTAATTATAATATTTATTTGTATAATTATAATTATAATTATAATTACTCTGTATAATAATAAAAATAAATAATAATAATAATAATAATAATAATAACAATAACAATAATATTTATAATAATATGGAGTAATAATAATAATAATAATAATAAAGCTAATAAAAATAATAATTATAATAGTAAAAATAGTAATAATAGTAATGATAATAGTAATAATTGCAATAATAGAAATAATAAAAATAATAATAACATCAACAAAAACAATAATAATAATAACAAAGACAATAATAACAATAATAATAATAATAATAAATAATAATAATAATATTAATAATCATAATAATATAATAATAATAATTATTAATATTTTATAATAATAAAATTATTATTATTATATTATTATTTTATAATAATATAATAGTAATAATAATTATTATTTTATAATAATAAAAGTGACAATTCATGTTTGAAATTTTCTGATGTGATTTGATCTGAATGCTTCTGATTTGATCTGAATGTTTCTGTTCTGGTCTGATTTGATCTGAATCTTTCTGGTCTGATCTGAATGATTCTGATCTGATCTGATCTGAATCTTTCTGATCTGATCTGAATTTTTCTGATCTAAATAAAATAAGAATAAACAATAAGTAATAAAAATAAGACAACATAACAACTTCTAAGATGCTGTTGTCTGCAGTCAGGTTGTTGCAAGCCTCCAAACATTTGTGGTTACCAGTATGTGAATCCGACAGTGTGGAGCAATCCAGCCAATGTCGCAGCAGATCCAGACTGCTCGGTATGGAATAACGACTCCAGCCAGCTGTGTTATGACTGCAATTCTTGCAAGGCTGGTCTACTGGGAAGTCTAAGAAGAGAGTGGAGGAAATCCAACCAGATCTTGATCATCGCTGTGGTGGTTCTGATCACAGTTTATATCATTGCCTGCAGTGCTTACAGGAACGCCCAAACTGAAGACATCTTCCGCCGGTACAAGCAGGGTTGGGCGTGAATGCATGATTGGACTCACAATGCCCATTTTCATGGAAGTTCTTAAAGAACTAAAAATCATACTCTGTATACTTCTCTCAGGTCTGGTGCAGCATTTCTTCCCTTTTGATGCATTTTTCTTTTTCTGTGTGTAACCTTGTACATTGTATATATATTCTGTGTAACCTTGTACTCCGTATTACATAAATGGAATGGGTTGTTGGCATTGAAGGAAAGCCAGCTTTGGTCATTTCATACTTTCACTTACTACTCTTTTCACAATTCTTTTCTCTTATTACTTTGATTACTTAGTTTATTTGGTGGATATAAGGAGTGACTAATGCATTGGGTGTCATCTAGAGCAACTTTCCCCAGAGGCAATTTAATACGAAGTATCTATCAATAGTTTCTAACGGCCCGTTTGATGACGGATACTGCTTCCTGCATGGCTGCATGCCTCCAAAAACATGCACTATGCTCGTCTTTGATCACATGCATTCACTCTAAAACCGGATTACCCATTATTGATGGTGGAATTTAAGTGTGGTGTCAGGAAGAACTATAGGTGTTTTTTCGTTGTAGTCTCTAGTTATTGTTTCAATGACATTTTGGCACGTCTTTGGATTTCCCACAAAGTAGTTGGCGCCTTGGTGGAATTATCAATGCTACAATAGGTGAGTGATAACAATAGTTGGAGTAGCACAACAAAAAATCAAAGACATGTACCCTAAAATTGATATAGTAATAGTAAGACATGAAGTAGAAAAATTCAAAGCAGGTATCAAAATTGTAATGTCCATAATAGCCGATAAACTAAAAGTGGGAAACACTAGGAAAATCAAGGTTGTCCAAAGACACTGGCATGGTGTCTTTCCTTAGGAAGAGGTAGAGACGCCAAACTTGTTTGAGGATGACTGGATTTGGTTATATGTGATCATATATACATGTCTTTTGGATGAAATTTGTAGGAGAAATAGCCAAAAAGAAAGAAAGAAATACAACTAGACCTGCATGGCAACAACAAGAGTTATCAAAGTAACAACCATATGTATATTCACAAGCTGAAATTTCTAACCTCTGCAGACACCAACTGAATAAATAAGCAAACAATGTATGGAGACATATATCAGAAAATAAGCTCTTTCAGTGTATGGGCAGAATAACTGTGTCTGGAAAAGAAGTTGTGCCATTATTAGGTGAACCTTCTAAACCGAGAATCTTAGTGATCAAGTTGTATATCTCAACATTCTCAAAAGATGAAACTTTGTGGCCTCTTGCAAAGCGAGGACCATGGCCGATAAAAATGGACCTCATTGAGAAGAAAGCATTGTCATATCCATGTGACCCACCACATTCTTTCCTATTTGTGTTCTTTTGCTCAACTTTAAACGCCTCATCTGGCAATCCGATGACCGGAGGTATTCGGTCGCTACCCGTATAGTGCAGCCTGCCAGGAAGCTCCTCCTTGAGATATACTTTTAGGTACTGGCCATTCCCAACTTTCCCAGACTGCAACCCCTCATTCATCTTGGCAACAACTTCCTTATCCGAGTAATTAGACGGCGGTTGAATTGCAAGAAGTGGACTATAAGATTGAACCCAATCTTTTGAGATTTGGATCCATGGACCCAAATCATCCAAAAAGATTAACTTTTCATCACAAGTGCCAACCATACCATGATGATGTTCACATCTTCAAAAACTCCTCTTGTCTCAAGGCCTTGAATTAACCTCCCAACCATCCTATCAATTCTAGTGACAGCCTCAGTGATCTGAGGGGCATCCGGACCAAATTTGTGACCCTGATGATCAGGGTCCTCAAAATACAATGTCATAAAAGAAGGGATTTCAACACTTGGCAAATCAAAGTAATTTAAAACAGCATCAACTCTATCTTGAAACCCCACAGAACTATTATACCTTTTACAGTAAAAGTCTGGGCATGTCCAATGACCTTTTTTTTACTTCAGAACCAGGCCAGAAGTTGCAGCTTGCAAACCATGCTTCACCACAGTTTCCCAAAGAGGTTCAGCTAGCCACCACTTAGGGTCATGGTTTTGCATTGTGAAATAATCACCACTGTTAGGTTCAATGAAGAAATTGTTCACAATCCCATGGTAAGCAGGGTACATACCAGTAACAATAGAGTAATGATTGGGGAATGTGAGAGATGGGAAGACAGGAATTAGACCCAAGTCAGCTTCAGTCCCATTCTTGATTAACCTGTCAATATTTGGAGTGTTTATTTTATATTGAAACCCGAACCTAAATCCATCAGAAGAAATCAAAAGAACAACAGGCTGTTTGAGCTTCTTGAGGGATCTTGAAACCTGGGAAGAATCTGATGAGAAGTACAGAGAGGCAAAAATGATGGCTGCCAAGAGAGCCAAGGAGGTGGTGAAAAGCAGAGAAGTGAGAATCAAGGGAGTAGTCATGGCAGGGTTTGAAGGATTGACTGGAGAAGAATCAGTGTTGAAAGAAAACAAAGCTATGGTTGACTTTGGGGTTTCTTCTTCCTCCTCCTCATTAGTATGAATAGGAATGGACTCATTGTTTGGTGATAGCAAGGAAAGTGAGTCTGAATTCATTGTGTAAATATCCCTGGTTTCGGTATCCTCAATGGGTGTTGAAATAAAAGAGCTCTGTAATGAAGATACAATATTCAAGAGTTAGGGGTGTTTGGAACTGATTCTGATTCTGCTTCTTTTTTAAAGAAGAAGCAGAATCAGAGTCAGTTTTCAGAAGCTGGTCACCCCAGCTTCTAAAAAAAACTGATTCTAGGAGTAACTTAGAGCACCAGAATCACTTCTACACTTTCAGTCAAACACTCCAGCTTCTGATTCTGTTCTTTTAGGGAGCAAAATCAGTTTTAAGAATCAGATCCAAACACCCCCTTAGTTCAGTTACCCGAGCTTGATTGGGAGACTCTGGACAGCAAAATTTTGTAACTTTTTCTTTGGGTTTTTGTAAATAGAGAAAAATATCTTAAATTGAATATCACAACTATCTCCTTCGCTCCCTTATTCTGTGTGTTTGGGAAGTTGGCACCTGCTGGGATTTTGATGGCATAGCATACGGTAGGCAAGTGGTGGGGTCCTGTTTGTTGGTCAGGATGGAGTAAAACGCAAGATTATGAACTCTTCAGAAGTAGCCGCACTCAAAACATATTTGAAAATGACCATCTAAATGCCTTTTACCTATGATTAAAATATATATATAATGATCGATATTTCTATATTTGGGATTTTGGGGCCTTGATAGTGAAATACATATCGATATACCTGTAATATATGGTCCAAGTATAAGACATCACATCATATCACGTTAAATACAACTTCCTCCATCACAAATCACTTATTTTGATTTGGCACAATTATTAGTGAAGTGGATGAAAAGTAAAAGTCGTGATTGAAATTTTTATAGAATAAATTGAAATTATACAAACCACATATTATTTGCCAAAAAACAATAGAACATTTATTCACATAGTGCAGCAAAACATAACTGAACAAGTGACTAGACAAATTAGCTTTCGATGCATGACTTCTCTTGTATTAGCAAAGCAGCAAGAGGATACACTCAACCATGTTGAATATACCAGAGGTCCAGAATACAATGCAGAACCAGAAAATTAAGCTTTGCTCTCACATTTCAGATCATAGAATAGGAATGTATTAGTAGAAACTATTTAATCTACGGTTAAGGAAACAACGGAGAGGATGGAAATATAGTGAAAAATCTCCAGTTTTTTTTTCTCTTTCCACCCTTCACCTGGTTTATACTTCCTCTGCTAGTATCTCTCTCAGACAAAAAATGCAATTAAAATGTAAATTAGGTGTCTGCTCTAATTTGAAAAGCTATAGGTTCACAAAAAGTTAAATATTTGAATTTTAGGAAGGATTCTGCACAGGTGAATCCTTTAACGCATCTCCTTCGGTATTTCTCCTCTTTCCTCAATGGTTTTAAGGTCTAACCTTTCTCTTCCCTTTTGATATCCATCACAAGACATCTCATTTGTGCTCTTTGGTTAAGGGCTCCTGCACTATCTCAGACTCAGGGCGGAAGAAGAAAAGTTCTTCAGTGGATATGGTGGTGTCTTTACTGGTGGGTTTTATTCCTTTATTTGATGCCTCTCTCTTCACAGGTCTGCTAAATAAGAACGCTGCAGGAAAGTTGAAGTAAAGTTTAATTACTGATATAAAACCTTTTGAAAATTAAACCACGATTGCAAAGAAGACCTCACACAAGTCTAACGGTTGACCCCCCTGAAAAAAATTGTAGTGAACTAGATGTACTCGCATAACCAAGTGACCAAATGCCTGCCAAAATTAGCAGCAGCTGGTGAGCTTGAATTATTACTTGTCTAGTCTGCAGACTATGTTTTTTGACCCAACTTATATTTGAGCTTTTCTATACCCCAAGAAGTAAAAGTTAGGCCACAGAGACATACAAAATTGCTTGTAAGGCTGGAAAATATAAAAGAAGAAACCAGTTCTCCAAGAAGCTTCATGAAAGGGTTTCTTAAAAAGCTTTGCAAAAATAAAATTAATGGGAACAAATGATCAACACACCTTGAGCTGTACCATATGGTCTTTAAGAACAACTACAACCTATGAATAAACTACTCAGTCTTTAAGAACAACTACAACCTATGAATCACTTATTTTTTAAATCTTCAAGCAACAAAAATTCAAGATACTCCAGAGCTTCAAGTAATATTCCAGTAATATATTCTATGAATAAAGGTCACTGTCTTTTAAAATAATGCGACATAAACAGATATTAAATGAACAGCAATGATAAATTCTCTGTCCTCTTGCGACAAACCTGCGGAAAATTTTGTTCATGTTTGTAATCAACTAATCAAGACCAAATTGACAAATTGTTCGGACAAAAGTTTGTTCATAACCTTACAAATACTAATAAATCTTTAAAAAGCGTAGTAATCCGAAGAGGAAGCATAATAACTAGAGAAAACATAAAGTTACATGATTCGATGAATGAAACTTAGCCAATGGGCCGAAATAGAATCAAACTTGTGTAGGGAGAAATGAACACAAAGTGAACATATGCTTTGGCATAGAAAACAACTATTTAATGATTAAAAAAATTAATTATATGTACTGCAAGATTAAAGGCAATTCTATTAGTCATTAGTCATTTAGACACTCAAAATATCACCGCATAAAGTCAATCATCAAATAAGAGTCACAATGGTTATTTGTGGAGTTGTGGTGAACATGTCAAATTTCTGTTCTTACATTATTCTTTGAGAATTCAAGTGCGATGTGAGAAATTAGAACACTATATGAGGTTGTTTTGGTTGAAAATTAAGTGTTTGGTTCAACTGATGTTGACCAAAGCTTTAGTAAGAAGCATCGCTTCTGCAAAAGTGGTTGAGTGTCACTCAATTAGTCAATTGGGTTACATCGCCTAACACATGCTTTAACAATTCTGAATGAAGAAATATATGCAAATTTGCACATTGAAGAAATATATAGCAGATCTGCAGATATGTACTACATTTCATACCCTGAAAGTTTGAGCATGTAGAGAACTGAAATACCTTCGATTTAACATATTATGCCTCGTGTAACTCATTACGACTCAAAAGTTATGACTCCTGAAAAATCAACACCATCTAAAATTGAAATGAGTAAAAACTTGATGTGTAATATTAGAGCCTGTTTGGTAACCTTATCAGGCTTATAAGCCAACTTTTTCACCAAACACGTAACTTTCGATTTCACGCGCTGAATTCCGTAATAATAAGAAAAAGTAAGGTTGGAGTTACTGTAGGGGACCATTTTAGCTATTTTTTCATTTCTTTTTCTTTACTTTATTATTAAAATGTATTTTAAATATAATTTTTTCATAAATCAGCAAAATCAGCCAATCCATCTACTTCAGCCACAACTTCATAAATTTCAGTTGTAGTAGCCGATTCAGACGATTTTAGTGTTATCAAACAAGCTCTTAGTTATATTCCCAAATTTTAAAAATAACATTTAAGTCACTCATTAGCTACGTGAAGAAAATAACATTTAAGTCACTCATCACTTTCCCAAATCCCGATTCATTAGTTATTACATTACATATATCTCTAGGTCTCATTTTTATTAACATTTATCTCACCTATATATGAACTATTCAACTCAAGTATTGCCTCAATTCACAAAAGGAATCGACCTTTTGGGATGGTTAAGTTTTGACCCCCTTAACATGATATTTTGGCACCGACAGTGACTGCACTCACCAATTTTTCTGTTGCACTCGACTCGGTTAGCCTTTCAAAATACTGAAGCACTCAAGCCCCCCCCCACACACACAACATGTGCATTAGAAATAAACACCTTGCAAATCCCATAACGTGCGCAATCTGGTCACCCTTATGTACTTTCCCAATTTCCATGAGCCTCTAATTGTTGCTCAAACTCATATATGATATCACCAAGAGTAATTAGATGCGCATGGTAGACAGTATCATTTTGTAGCAGTTGGCTTATACAGATGGATTACAATTTGCAAAATCATATTGGATTACGCAATGCAAAAAGTTTTTTTTGTAAAGAAAAGTTTTCAGTTCCTAATTTCATCAAATATGGATCATGCTATTAAAAACATTGTCATTGACAATATAAAACCTCAAAAGAGTGATCACAACAACTTGCAACCAATATCAGAGTGAGTTGCTTCCATAAAGGGAATACAACGTGTTCTCCACAAGGCTCACCAGAAAGGGATATTTCCCTTTGTCATTAGAACGAACAGTTCATGCGCAAAAAATTGCTTTACAATCCTAGCACTACTATCATAACATACACCTAAGATATATACAAAACATCTTAATATACGTCAATAAAGTCGTAGAAGGTACGTGATACAGATTACAGAGCACGTGCTCCAAATAAGAAAGAATCTGATATCAAGAACGGAAAACTGAACTTTGCAAATGTACATAGAAAATTCAGCACAACGTAAGAAAAAATAAAACCCCAAGAAGATAAGAAATTGCTGAGCATAAGCACAGTACGAATATCCCAGGATTAGCGGACAAGAAAGAAGATTGTTGGTGCACAAGATAGGGGAAAGAAGTTACCTCCAAGAGCTAGATTGAAGATGAGAAAAGAGCGCCAAACGAACTTAGAAAAGAGCTTAGAATGACGCACTTTTGTAGACTCGATGTTGAGAGGATGAGTCACTATCTTCTGCGACTTTCCTGCCATTTTTGGACTGGAGAGTTGAATAACAGTTGTGCACTCAAAGAAAGAATTGCAGGATTTGTAGGAGTAAACCACTTGAATAGCCCACTGTCCAAAAAGATGAGTCACAGGGTCGGGCTGGACTCGACATAAAAAGTTACTTCCTGCAACGTTTGATAAAATATATTCAATCAAAGAGATTTACATTTACAAAGTCACAAAAATTAGAATCATAATTTAAAATAATTTGATACTACATATATAAAAATTAAAGTAAGATATTAAGAGTTATTTGTGTTGACCTAGGAACTGAGAAAATTTTAGTGAGACGAAAGGAGTAATTAATAAGGGTAGATCAAGTCAAGATAGACATTTTTATAAAATTATAGATGTAACTCGTTTATACTAGTATAGATTGGTTAAAAAGGTCAGATCGACCTAGTCCAAATGTCACTAATAGGACTAGGTATGGATTGCTTTACAAGAAAAAGTGCACAACTTGAACACAAGAGTGCCAAAAGTGAATATTTCACCATTAAAACATCTTTTTATTTGACTCACCCAATATATATATATATTAATATTAATATACTCAGGTATGATCTAATGTTCTGTGTTCACCACCATGGCTGATTCAGAAGACGACGTTAACTTTCATATCAGAGAAATGCACATGTGTATAAGCTAAAGTTTGGGTGATTTTTAATTATTAAGTTATTTAAAAGGGAAAATTGAATAATGACGAAGAGGAGGAACAAAAATGTAGCCATCCGACTAATAGGTAAAACAACATGCGTCTCCCTCAAATAGGGTTTGAGTTGTTTGCCTATGTGCGGATTCCTTGGAGTTTAATTTTGAGTTCTTTGATTGGTAGTAAGGATGACATACAATCATACGGTACAAATACCATAGTAGAGGATCTACTCAGAGGCTACATATTTGAAGTTATTAACCATGGGATTGGATGATGGGACGCTATGATGAGATGAGCAAGGAAGATAAAGTGTTATGGTCTGTTCCCTCTTTTGAACCGTCACTTTGGAGTGACTGTGTGGTTAGGGTTAATTTGGAAGACGACGCTTCAAAGTTGAATTGGATCACCTACGATTTCTTATTCTATTTTTATTTCAAACTTTAGTTTTCTTTCTTTAAACTTTTTTACCTTATTTCCTTTTTATTGTGTAAGAGACGTTCTTGAGATGTTTAAGGTTGTTATTTGTTTCTAAGCTCCCGAATGTTTAGCGAAAAGTCTCGCTCTATTTTGACTGAACTTTTTTATGCATGATCAGGGACTTAGGGGACGTGGCTTTTCGACTATTTTGGGATGTTTTATGTGAGAAAGAGTATAGGAGTACAATGAATGATATTAATGGTAAAAAAGAAGTCTATGTTGTATATTTGTTGGTAAGTGATTCACGCTGCTTGTTTTCTCGCCTCAGACGCATGATCGTGCGTCCCCTACGTACGGCGTGCGTCAAACTTCCAAATTTGATAAAGCTTCCTTCATGAAAGTTGTAGATAAGAAAGTCGTCTATCCACCCCAACTTGCAGAATTGGATTTGAATCATCCAATCAAAAGATATGAATAAAATGGTGGAAGGTGTCATTCTCAAATCGCAACAGAGATCATCTAACTTTATCGTCTGTTTTCACCTTGCTTCTATCAGATTCTCGGAATGGTGTCTTCATATGATTTGTAGCCCTTGCAGTTGGCTTTAAAATGGAACTTGAATCGTGTTCATTGGATGTTTTTACAAAGAGATATGCTTGAACGATTGACAGAAGGTCATCTTGATCGTCGTTTTCAAGCTCTATGCATCTTCTTTTGATCTCGTAGCCACTTCTAGAGCTCTTTTGCCTTGAAATCTTCATCGTAAACCTCGCGGTGACCTCCAAAGCTCTCAAATCAATCTCTAATGCTTCTCAACTCGTCCCGATTGCTTCTCAAGCGCCGGTGTCAGGCTCAAATTCCCTTATTTTGACTCCACATGACACAAAACTCGAACCAATGCCTGATAAACATAACTTGAGCTAAAATTGGGACTTGCAACACCTTAAAGCTAGGGAAACCATCAAAAGCCGATCCCAACACGCATCAAATGCTTGTCAATATACGGACTTATCATTGCGATAGACCAACTTTGGAAAAAGGATGTCTCTGGCTAGAATAGAGGTGGAGGTTGACCACCTCAAACTGATACCTGAAAAGTTCTGGCTAGAAGACGACGATTACGAGGGGTTCTGGCAGTACATTATCATTGAGGAGCAACTCCCACACTGTTGTACCAAATGTTACCATATTGATCACAATAAGGGTAGTTGCTCCAAACAAAACAAACCACCCATAGACACTACGGTTGCGAACACCAGTGAACCGAATCTTGCAAAGGACAAGGGTAAAATCGTGATTGTTAACACTAGTAACCCCATTAGCTAGAATCTGACTAAATGAAAAAAAAAAGCTTCCTGTTTCATTTGAAACAAGTCAAACATCTGAATGGAAAAGGACAAAGACAAAACACCTCAGCAGGACTTTTTGAGGATGCTCTACCACATTTGGAAGGTGGTCCAACCATGGTTGAGACTGCAACCAATGCTTCAGCACCCGCTGAAGACACTGAGGGAGGCACCGAATCTGTTACTCAAAGCCCTGAAAATCAAAATTCTGTCGTGCTTAACGTTTTGCAGGAAATCAATAATGATCCTCCCCCACCCCCACCCCCACCCAATGTAAAACACCAATCACTTTCACCTATACCCCTGACCCCAAATAAATTGATTTGAAACCCTCTGAATCAGATAGGTGAAGATGAACCACTAAACTTGTATATTGAGAAGGATCCCAGAAAAGTTACATCTGATTGGGATCCATCCAACAAATCCAAACAAAAATCTCACAGATCCTCAGCCCCTTCCAAAAATGATGCTGATAACCACAAAATGTCTTATGATCTACTATGAATCCATCACATACACTCATCTACTAATAAAAGTATCACTTAAACATCTTTACTCTTTAAAAACATTCAATATAGTCAAGTTTACCGGGAAGCAACCCTCTTAACAAGTTAATTTGACTTTTCTTTTTATTTTTCCATTTCTTTTCTTTTTCTTCCCTCTCCTTTTCTTCCTTCTCCACCATCCGCATCTCAAACGTCAAAGTGTGTTTGTATTGTTCCTCCGCTTACCAAAATTTCCATTTTGCATCACCTCTAGCTGGACGATTCTCGTCGTCTCCTTCACTTTTGCCATCATCATCAATTGCCTTACAATTATCAGGAGGCGCCGGCAATTTGGAGGAACAGACGATGATTGTAATCCAACGACATACATCCATGGAGGGACGGTCGATGATGTGGAAAGTAAAGAAAATTAATCAAATAAAATTAATTTAAATGACTTAAGAAAAACAGAAAGGAGATGGAAAGAAATTAGCCAAAGCTCGTGCTATGCACGATGACCTTAAAACGTATTCGTTGTCTCCCTAGGTGCTAGGAGCGTTGCAACGATTGTTTCCCATGATATGATGACTACGAACAATCATTGAGCACTCAAACGAATTGTTCCAGCGAACGTGAACTAGCAAGAACACAAAAGAATATTTTCATAATGCTAGAGGTGTTTTTGAGCTAAAGAAAACGTGCAGCTCGTGTATGATTGCATGTGTTGTTGAAAACCACCTGCCAACCTTTTTATAGGGAAAATTTGTTGTGTGTTAATGCCGTTTTAATGGAGTTGAACGTTGGACATCAATAGCCTGAACGTTGGTCATTCATTCATCCAAAATAGTCCATTTAATTGCATGAACGTTGGGCATAAATGTTGTTGTAATGTCTGAGCAGCTGTCTGCTGGTGGTCGTTCAGCTTGGAGCAGCAGCCTTCTCCCAATGGGGCTGAGGCTGCACCTGGAGAAAAAAGGAACGTCATGGGAAGAAGCAAAAATTAAATCTTTTCTTTAGAAGATAGATTTTCGGACGATATTCGTTTCAGCAGGTCACCCGCGCACGCAGGTCGCGGGTTTTCTTCTCCGTTTTTGTGATTTGATTCGCACCCCCCGTGCGCAAAGAGAGCCTTTCCACTTAGGAATCTTAACTCAGCTTAGGAAAATTCCTTGGGTTTTCCGGTGTGGGAAATAACACACTAGAAACCCATCATTTTCCTAGTTTTTCCAGCTCTTTCTGGTTTTCTAATTGGAGTGTTTCTGGCCCCCTTCATCAATTCCAGGAAAACATTCCTACTCACCTTACCAATTTGACCATTAATGAAGCTTTCCAAAACCAAAGGCTTATCAATTTCACGAGATACTGATTCATTTTTCTGACCTCGATGATAATTGTGTTTGGCAACTGAGTCCAAATGGCAAGTTCAGTTTTAATAGTGCCTATGATGCTACCTGCCATACGATGAATCTTAAGGCCAATGCCAAATATATTTGGAACAATCGTACTCCAAATTTTTTTTTCTTCTGTGGAGCCTACACAATAATATCCTTCCTTTTGGGAAAAACCTTAACCAAATGGGTATCTCTGGCCCTTTCAAATGCCCCTACTGTCATACCGATGACACAAGTGATCATTTCTTCCTAAGATGCAATTTCAACAAAAGAATCTGGAATCATTTTGAAAATCTTTTTGTTTCTGGCCCAACCATGATACCAACCTAAACATCTTTGTGGAGCGTTGGTACAAAAATTTTAATAGCCATCCCCACGATTTAAAATACGCCCTTTATGATGTCATTATTAAAACTATCCCTCACATCAACTCTAACATTATAATAATATTATTTTTGAGGTTGATAGTTCAGCTGTTTACGAAAGTATCATAGGTCACTCCCTACAACATTGGAGATATTGGTCACACATCCCACTACTAGAAAAACTACTTTTAACGACCACCATATAACGACGAGTCTAAAATGTTGTCGTTAAAAATATCTTTTAACATCGACTAATGTATTCGTCGTTATTAAATTTTATGTTTAACGACCATAAATAAAAGTTGTCGTTATTGATTTATGCTCAATCATCGTTATTAGTTACTCTGTATAACTGAGTTTTTTTCTTCCTGAAATCTATAATAAAATTTAAATCAAGAAAAAAACAATCAATTCGAATAATTAATAAGCTTAATTATTCTC